TAATTAAGAGGCTAATAGGACTATAAGGAGTGTCCTGTCTCTGCAGTTGGTATTTGGGGCTGAGTGCGTTCGCTTCCCTATAAAAATCCATTATCCATGACAATTTCGCCATTGTCTGGGTGGCTATTATGTTTGTGTACTCGAGGTCGACTTGAGGGTAAAGTTCCTTTTCGAACCTTTGGGTCACACTAAATTTTTTTAAAAAACATGCGCCTCCTTTCCACCTTCCTGAATTGTCAGAATAAATTAGTACAATCTTTTGGGAAGCCTAGTTTATTTACGCTCCATAAAACGTCTTACTTAATTTTATAAAGTAGTAATAGTACCCAAAAAGTGGCCCAAATTTTCCAACTTTTCGCTGTCATTTTGGAGGGAAAAATATCCTCGAAATGGCATAACCCTCTGTACTTGTTCTACGATCAATAGCAAAAGTGGGCCAAGCACAATCGATTTGCACGCCCTACCGATTGAGTTCTTCGTACGTGACTGCGCACTTTGTCATCTGAAAGCCCAACCGCTCCCGTGTGTGTTTCTACCAGAGCTTATTTTCAGAATTGCGCTTTAACACAGCCTGATCTACTTTGGAATAGCCTTTTGGGCTCAGTCCAACGTTCCGTGTGTTTGAGCGTACATTGCAGATGGCCTCAGGCTCAGCAAATTGTTTCGAACCAGTCCCCGGAACGCGAACTTTCGGCTTGACTGAGTTGCAAAATCAGGCGACCAGCGCGTCACCTTCCGCTCAAATGCTGCTTGTCTCCGGGGCTCCGGATAGATACTCACTGTCTTGGACGCAGTGCTGGTTAGGATTTCCTGTTTAAAAAATGTTAGCATGCATCCGGTGAAACAACTGATTCTTCTCCAACTTCGCAAATATAATGATTATTAGGCGTCCGTCTGTCCTAATTGATGCTTAATAACGACAGATGCGAAGGATTGAAAAGTGAACAAATGTCGTAATATATTTTACAGTACTTTCATTTCCTTGGAACACTAAGTCTCTTGATGGCGTGTTGGTTGATTAATAGGGTTTAATTCCTTGTGATCGTAGTACCTCGGCCCACGTTTTTCGATGTCTTTGGAGGGTAAGCTGGAAGAAAATAACGTTTTTTTCAATTATGTGTGGGGTCTGAAATCAACAGAAACAGAAATATTCAAATTGGAGTTGAAAGAATCGAACCCTGCACAGTGTGAATGAACACATGGGCGCAACCACAACTCTGACGACAGCGGGCATAATTGTCACGCAATTATTAAACCCGCATCTGAAGCGGAGAAGAACGCTGTGGTAAGTAATGAGCCATCACCGCACCAATGAAGACCCCAAGCGGTGAAATCGTGGCAATTAATGAGCCATCACCGCACCAATTAAGACCTCAAGCGGTGACTAAAGGAACGGACAATTACAGTACGCATGCGGGTGACCGCTACGAACTATAAATACCGTGTAATCTGTACATGAAGAGTTATACGAATGTCTTCTAATTTGCTAGTATAGGTGGTCGTACAACATTTGAAGCAGAGAATGGTCCTTTAGTAACTTTACCATGTAAAATTTCATAAGTTTCCCGTCATTTATTATTTCCAAACCTCTAAAAGTGATTGAATTTTTAAAAATTTAAAAATCAACAAAAGGGATGTGTTGACGATAGGTCTACGTACGAGTCACACTGTAGGAACTTTACTGTTTTGTAATCCACCGGTAAATCTCAGAAACACATTATGAAGGCAGGCCTTAGCGTTGGTCCAGCATGCAGCAGGCACCGAATAAACACATTTTACGCCGGTGGGCTGTCCTGCACGAAAACCACATTCTAGGTGCATGTTAAACATTTTGAATTAGACTATTTTTTTCAGAATATCTGTCCGAACAAGGATGCCACGTTTCTGGCTGGCAGGCCGTGAGCGAAATCTGGTGGCGGA